TTCTTGGTTTCTGTAAGCAAGTTGGGGTTCCTATTGCTGCTGAAAAAACTTTTATGCCTTCAACAACCATGGAGTTTTTAGGCATCACACTTGATTCAATCAAACAGGAAGCTAGACTCCCCCCAGATAAAGTACTAAAATGTCAGCAGTTACTAACTGGTCTGCTGTATCAGAAAAAATGTACACTTAAAGAGTTACAAAGCATTATTGGTTTCCTTAACTTTGTATGCCAAGTCATTGTTCCAGGTAGACCTTTCTTGCGAAGAATGATAAATTTGACTATTGGTGTGAAGCAGCCTTATCACCATATTAGGTTAAATCAGGCCGCCAGAGATGACATCAGAATGTGGCTGGCCTTTTTAGACAGTTTCAATAGATGCTCATTTTTTCTTGATGAAAAATTCATCACTAGTGATGCTATTCAACTTCATACAGATGCTGCAACTACTTTGGGTTTTGGGGGTACATGTGGGAAACATTGGTTTTATGGTTCCTTCCCAGATTCTTGGGCAGATTTCCACATCTCCATCAAGGAGTTTTACCCAATCCTATTAGGGGTGAAACTTTGGGGACAACTCTGGCAAAATCATTGTATATTGTTTTTTACAGACAATGAGGCTCTGGTTTATATAATTAACAAACAGACTAGTAAGGACGAGGTTCTTTTAACCATGGTTAGATGGCTGGTGCTACAATGCATACGTTTAAATGTATTATTTAAAGCCAAACATATTCCAGGCAAGAAAAATATCTTAGCAGACCATCTTTCTCGCTTACAGATAACAGACTTCAAGAGGAAAGCTCCTTGGATGCATGCAGCACCAACATCCGTACCTCCCAAATATCTACCAGAGAGCTTTCTAAAGGAGTTGAAGAACTTTTAGGTGAATCACTGGCTCCTTCTAGTAGGCAGACATATGGTAAAGCTTGGGCAACATTCTCAACCTTTGCTAACTCAAATGGCTTTCAGCCTGCTAGCTCTGCTGTGAATTCATCTCATGTAGCTCTTTTTATTTCTGAGTTGCATAATAAAGATTTTTCTCCAAAGTCTATTTCAACATACGTTTCTGCTGTGGCTTATGTACATAAGCTTCTCCATAACCATGATCCAACAGACTCTTTCTTAATTAAGAAAATGATCTGTGGTGCATACCGTATAGCCCCTTCTAGCGATATGCGCTTGCCATTTGATGTCAGCATGCTAGACAGAATGATTGCATCTCTAGAATCCATAGCAAAAACGCCCTTTGAGCAGGTTCTCTTCCGTTCCATGTTCCTCTTTGCTTTTAACGCATTTGCTCGCGTTGGTGAAATAGCAAATACAGGAAATCTCAACAACCTAGTACAATATCAAAATATAGTAGTTAGCTACTCGCCAACTACAGGTACTGAGGAAGTTGTAATTAATTTCTATGAGTTCAAACACAATTTAGAGAAAAAACGTCATACTGTCACTTTCAGCCATGGTCCAACGCAACAGTCAGCTATAACAGCATTGAAAGATTATCTCATCTACAGGGGTAATTTGCCTGGCCCTCTGTTTCAATATATCAATACGAAACCTATGACACGCCGGCACTTTGATCTCATTTTACACGCAGTTCTTAAATACTGCAAGTTTGATTCGCGTTTGTATAAAGGACACAGTTTTCGGCTTGGGGCTGCGTCGTACGCAGCACTGTGTCTTCGTTGTTCAGATGCAGAGATCCGTGTTTTAGGTCGCTGGAATAGCAATGCTTTTAAGAAATACATCCGTTTGCCACGTTAATATTCTTCAATTTTGATGCTTAAGCTTGGACCCCACCTGTTGCTTACAATATTAGTAAATCTATATTGTATTATTCTCTGATTCTTACCAGCTGCACATTACAAAACCAAGGCCTGAGTACACCATGACATTTATTGGACATTTTACATTTCAAGACATTTTGCAGATTGGGGGCTTGCTTGAGCCGGTCTCTGTTTCTGCTGTACAGGCAAGAATACATTGTGTATGCCATGTTTTCTCAGCTTCTTGGTGATTGAGACACTATGTGATTGTGCAGGTCTGAGGCTTGCTTGGGCCGGTCTCCCCAGTACATATCACTTTTCACCTGCTTTTATGTCCAGTGTGTAAACATCACTAATATTCAACATTTTTATATTTTTCTACACTGTATCATTTCATATCTTTTTATCAGTGTAACATTAAAGGCCTGTTAGTTAGCATGCAACTGTGACTATCAATTGTGAGGCTTGCTTGAGCCAGTCTTTCTCTATAGTTATCACCCAATGTAAATGTATATGATTATAATATCTTAACACATTGAAGACTATACATGAAACATGCAGCATAAATTTGCCTTTGAACTCTTTTTATTTATGTTATTTTGTTAATATTAGTTTTTGACTTTAAGCAACAGGGTAGATAGGATTTTTAACTAGCTTTGCTAACCTTGTTTTGAAGCCCACAAATGTCTGTGGTTTTGACAATTTTTGCCTTGTTGCAAATTTGAATATATGTGTTTGTAGCATAATTTGGTACTTGTGTTCAACCAGTTAACACTATGATTTAAACCTTAACAACTGCAGCTATTTAATTACATGCCTGTCTACATGATGTCTGCTTGAGCCGGCTTCATTATGTAATATAATTGCTTATAACTATATGTCCTTTTGCATTTTTTGCTTAATTTGTTTCTTTTATAAAGTGATGCCATCTTACATTTTATACCTTCGTATGTGCAAGACAATTTTCTTTGCTTTTTACATGGCTTTGCCTCTCGCCTTTGTGGGGAAACCTTCAATGTTGCACATCTTGGTTTAGTGGCGGAGTTTGCCAACCCCCACTAAGGCTTATGGCCACCAACTAATGTATTTGTTTTACTTTATATATGATAATGCTATGCTGTACTTGTCAGATGTTTGACATCGTCATGTTTGGGTATTATTTGTTTGAAAATATATTAAAAGTCACCAAACGGTGACCTTTTTCACTCATATGTTCTTTTGGTTGTTTATGTGACAGGACGGAAAGTGCATAAAAGGCAGCTAAGCACTTAGCTTAATTTATGCATCTGGAGTCGTGCACATAACCACTTTATTTGAATAAATAAAATTAAGAAAAATAGGTTTCGAAGAGTTGTCTCCCATGCATAATAGCTAGGGATAGGAAGAGTTACTCGCCTTGAATTAAGAGCCGAGGATTGTGGGTAATCTGCATTGAGCGCGCCATTGAGAAAATTTGTAAACAGCGCGACATTGAGAAAATTTATAAACAAAAAGGTCACACAGTGCAAAACTATTGTGTTAACCATTCTAAGTAAAGACCTAGTCTGGTATACCTATCATTCCTGTAAGTTTGGTTGTAGACCAGGTAAAATTATTCAGTATTAGTATGACTTGATGCAGTAATTTCTAAATAATGACTGATGTGATTATCAATAAGATATTGTAAAGCACTACATGTATATAGACATAATTATATAAACAGGTAATTGTAATATGTACTCTGCCTACCCGTTTTTTTTCAAATAATTTGATCTGTTTTACATTTTTATAGGAATGTTTTAGGTCATGGATATCTTTACTTCTTATTCTGTTTCAAAAATGTGATTTGAATAAAATCAATGTAAAATCCAAGTTTTTTTAAATGTGTTTATTCATTATGTTATAAAAAGACTAAAATACATAGTAAGTTCACTTGGTAAATATTCATTACTATCAAAGAATGTATTTTTCTGTGAATTTTCTCTCAGGAATTCATGTTCAGCATCAAAGGTTGTCCCAACAACTGGTTTATCCGTTGTCAATACCATAGGATCGATTGGAATACTGTGTTGGATGCCGAGGATATGGTATTTTAGTGAGTAGCTTTCTAAAGTCGGCATCAGATCCGCGCTTTCACAAGGAAGTAAATGCATAACAAACACACCCTGCCTCCGGAACACATACAAACACGCACTTAAACATTACACACGTGTAGGCACGTCCTCAAATGACCTTACCTGTGCGTAGGACGTTAAACAAAATAAAACTAGCCAACCGTGCATAGTTGTCAATTACGGAGTGTCCAAACCGCTCACATTTATATCCTGGTCAGCTCCTTAAATCACATATTTTTGCTTGGTTATAGAATATTTTGGAACCAGCATAGACAATTATTTATCGTAAATTTTGTTAACGTTGATAATGGATCGATCCATAAGTACTCATTCATTTTTGAACCTGATTTATGAGCTTTATGTCCAAATAAACTTCTTCCGTCACCTTAAAAACACTGTACTTTAACACTGTCACATTTACTGATTGATTGGTTTGGTTTTAATTTTTTTTTTGGTAGTGGTATGGGCGGTTGGCCCAATCTTATTAGAATTGCTATAGAAGGTCAACCTGCTAGAATCCCAGGTGTTGATGCTCAATTACTCCATCTATCTCCGTGTTTACTTTCTATTGATGGAGCTTCACTACATGTACCATACCCTGGTATCTTCTTTATATCCCTCCACCGGTACATCGACCGATTACTCCCTACATGGACTTGGATCGTCTTGCCCTTTTTGTTCTTCTACGTTGTCTTCCCTTACGGACATCCCCTGCATTACTTCCTTAGATCCATCCGACCCCCCCCCCCCCCCCCCCCCCCGCCCTTACTCTATGGCCGACCTTCTCACATGTTGAACGTACAATTAGCCGTTTTACTCGTGATGGACGTTTATGGACTTCTGACACCAAGTAATAACGCACTGTTATCCAACACATTGTCTGAATTCAAGCTGTAATTAGGGACGTTAAACAAAGGTAAACAAAATCTGACTGAAAAAGGGGAAGTAACTCACACAGTAGCCTATATCACCAGTGACCAAGATGGCAGTATGTCGGCAAACCTGTTTGGTTAAAGACTTGTAGGGAAAACTTACACTGTTTTCCGTAAAACCTTTTTTTTTTTAACAAAAAGAACCTATATACAAATTCCATTTTTATTAATGAATTTGATGAATGAGTGAACAATAACACATTTAAATAATCTGGTTATTTATTTAGTATAAGAAGACTTCTAAAACAATTTCAAGTGTACAGGACCATCCTCTCTATGCAGTAGGAGCAGGAGTAGAAGGAATTGGAATATTGTAATGTTGAGCGAGTTGCTGTAACCTGAAACGAAAAGTAATTCTGTAAAAGACACCGAAAATCCGACAGTACTTAGGATATATGTTACTCTGTGTAGTAAAACAAAATCCTATATTCAACACTGTTTTACTTTTATGCAATTTTGAAAAAAGGAGTTAACGACATAGAAGTAAATGCAAAATGCAAAAAAGTTGTACAACAAAATTGAAGTTTTGGCCTTTCGTGGAGCGTAAGAAATACAAATTTAAAAAATGGCCGCTGAATTGGTTTTCTTTCAAAATTATTGTGAAAGAGGTTCCAAAAACCAACAGGCATCTAGTTTTTTGACACATTTTGCAAATGCGTGTATGCCTCTCAAATGGATCATAATTTGTCAAATATTACAAAGACCCATTACACGAGGTCTAAACGAGACTTGAACATGACTGAAACCTCATAAGAGATATTTTTTGCATATTTAAAACTGCCCCAACACTATGATGCGGCTGTGGAATGGTTGATTTGTTCCCGTAATGAAACATTCTAGTAAATATAAGTTGACAGTACATGACGGTTATTCCATATCGGCAGTTCAGAAACTTTCAGTATCAGAAATTGTCGAAGCTGGCGTTTTCTAGGTGTTTTTGTTTTAATATTAATTTATTCTGACAGTTACTAATTACCAAATTCAAAGATACCAGTCCATTAAAACCATTGTTTACAAATATTGTACTTTCTCTTCAAGCTCTAATTTTATCGCTGCTGAATGTAGACTCATCGTCTTTGTTCGGGCAAAGGTAGTTAAACATCAATATACTTTGTTTATAAACAATGTGATACACATATTGAGAAAATGATATTGATTGCATGAAATGTGAAATGCACCACTTAAAATGTACACAATCGCGTATAAAAAATCATTATCCCTTCTGTTTCTCCAATTTGTTTGGCGCTAAGCATCACCGATAAGTCCTAAAAGGATGAAACAGCATACTTTTGTCTATTACAAAATTAAAGAGAAAACGTGAAGTCACGTGTGTAAGTTAGGTTCATAACCCGAAGTGATGTATATATATATCATATATATCTAAATTCATCATAATAACGTAATGTATTTCTAAACCAATATTGCCAGCGCTTTTATCTAACTCTTAGTCGAAATCAATATATATACATACGATGTACACGCCATAGGACAAAATGTGTGGGTTATAGTGTTGATTGAGCCGGCTGACAGCTGATGGTCTACAAGAGTGTCACACTCAGTTTGGCACTCTCCTTTCCTCTGATCGGTACCAAGATCAGCGACTAAGCTAGCAACTATTTTTTTGAGTTCGTCTGCGTGGAAAACATTTACTGAAACAAAAGACAATATGAATAAATGTGGGTAACAGAGAACAGTAGAAAAGGCCTGATCCTAAAAATAAAGGCTATCTCAAATGGATTCATCTTGCACAACACACCTACATATATATATATTTATATTAATTATTNCCCCCCCCCCCCCCCCCCCCTCAAAAACATGGTTACATGTACCACATAAAAAAAACCCACTACAAAATGCAAATAAACAAATTCTATCAAATAAAATATTGACCCCCGCAGAAAGTATTGTTTTTCTCTTAAAACCTGTCTTAAACAAGCAATGACCAATCCGATAGATTCTTCATAATAGTTACACATGTTCTGAGTACAAAATAGACTATATGAACAGCTAGCTTTTGTTGTGTTGACACAGATTTGCAAATAGCCGAAACTTAAACCAATTTTGAATATTGTCATTGAACAATTATGTAGCGCACATAGTCCACTTTATCAAGTGTATACAAAATTTAGTGCTGATACCCTTTTTTATTAATTTTGATACATGCTATATCAATAATTGTACAAAAGTATCACCCATGGCCACCGGACGTTACTGTACAACGGTACCTATACATGATTCAGTATATTTACACAGCACGCTTGTTTGTTTTGAAATGTTGTTCGGCCGATCGGCCTTTCGAGTGTTTTTGGGAATAGCAATTATATATATCCGTATTAACGTATAACTGTTTGCAATTTAAGGAATCGGGATTTGAAACCGGAAATGTAATCCACTCAAAATTAGTTGTTCTAACAAGTTGTGGAAATACATACTGATGGTTTGGATAAGCCAAACTGTTAACAATATGTTCATGCCGTATAGCAGGTTCTTAATGCGTGCTTTGATTATCACGATTTCGACACAAAAGTATATAATGAAATTCTACACAGATTAAAATTTTGCGATCTAAACATGTGAGGGAACTAAATATCTGCGGTGTTTTACCCCAAGGCACGGGTAGATATAAATGTGTGATATAAACTATTTTCAAACAACCTTACTATTTATGTATATGAATCGTCACAACTGCGTACACGATATATCATGACGACAATACGAGCATGAAGTTTATAATAGCGGCTCATTTGTACGCTATATTATTATATCATATTATTCTGCGGATCATATTTTCCCGATCACTTTATTAATCTGCGAAACGGCGAAACTATCCTTCTCAATAGTATCGTGAAAGTCATGTACGTTTCTTATCGACAGTGCATATGCAAAGTTAAACCGAAATAACATGCAAATGTTGTCTTGCTAAAACTTAATGTCATGTCAAATAAGAAAAAAATAATAAGAAAAAGCCTGAAGGTATGGATACGGAAATCAACATCAGATCAGAAGGACAAGAAAAACATGAAGTCGTCAATTTACTCACGGAGGCTTTGCAGGATTGGGTTAAATGAAAAAGCCCGGTCTTCATGGGGTGCAGACATTGCCAAAGGCAGGATGATCACGAGGAAAACAGCCAACTTCATTGTGATTTGCGTTTACGACAGTTCAACGTACTGTGGTGAAAAGAGAGCACAACAAAATGTACGTAAAACCTTTGCAGGTTCGGGCAAAGAATAGGCCATCTGTATTCCACTTCATGAAGTTAAAGGCACCCAATGTGGGAATCGGAAGCATTCTTCAGTGTGTTTTGCTTAAGGCACATCGCAGAAACCATAATTAAAGCCAAAAGTGTGGTATTGCCAAGCACGGCTCTGAGAAACAAAAGGTAGTTAGAAGTAGCGAGAAGTTCAAAAATCCCAAATAATGTAATGGGTGCAACAGGTTTATTTGGTCTCTTTCATGTCCTCTTCATAGAAGACATGGAAGAAAACCTCCGATTCTGCAGGTGGCCCCACGTTAGTCGCATTTTACAATACAAGTGCAGTTGGAAACAACAGGTATAATCCTGATTTCCAAGTGTCCCCTAAATAGAAGACAATGAAGAAACCGCCCCGATTATGCAGACAGGGAGGTTCCTTAAATGAAATAAACTTAGCTGTAAACAAGACGTCATCAAACCAAACTAACATTGACCTTGCAATATGGATTGTTAAAATAATGGCAATCTAAGAAGATATCAATATACTTCACCCAGCATATATTTCAGACACGAAGGCTTGTACTTAAATGACATTAGCTGTAAATAATATGCTTAACAAAATAAAACATTCATAATTATGATATATAGGAACCAAAAAGTAGTATTTCCCGCATGAAAACTCCTTGTGACAGAAGTCTGTGCACTTACCAATTCAATAGTCGGTGTAGTGATAGGTCGCACAATGGGCTGTGTTCGGTTTATGAAGAGATAGATATGTGCCGATTAAGCCGAAAGGGCAAACCACACCCACTGAGAAAGGACAGATGAAGTCGGTATCGTATGATTATCTAACCAAACTGACTTTTTATGTATGGAAACACTTCTGTCCTTGCCATCTCTGTCACGATACGGTTTTGTTTTCTATAGTTTAGCGTCCTATCGAGAACTTAGATAATTTAAGGACTGCCTTACTATGCTATGTCGATCTACTGGAGTGAATGTATATGTTGTTCTACATTGATTTGATTTGATTTTTATTAACGACGTCCTATAAACAGCTACAGTTATTTAGGGTCGTGCATCCATGTGTGTTGTGTATGCGTGGGTGTATGAGTGTGTGTGTCAGAGACAGGGTATGTTGATGTACTTGCCTCCTTGTAATAGCGCGGATCTGATACCGGCTTTATAGTGCGTTCTCCCTGAAGTATCATGCCTAAGGCACCTAGCACAGCATTCGCCCGGTAACATGTTGCATGCCCCTCAGTGCTGAACGTTAAGCATGTAATAACAACTACCGCTTGTACGGACTTTTGTATGCCTCGACTTTGAGACAGAACCCATTGCCTTCCTCAACAGGGCGAACGCCCAACATTAAAGACAAAAATAAGGTGTTGCCAAACAAGGCACTAAGAAATGGCAGGTAGTTTGAAGTAGAGAGAAAAATAAAGATCCCAAATATTGCAATTGGCGCAGCAGATTTATTTTGATCGCTCCTGTATCCCAAAATTGAGGACATAAAAAGTTTCCAAAATAGTTGCCTCTTACGATACAATCAGTGGGTAACAGCAGGTGTTTTTTTTTCATAATCCCCGACCTTCAGGGTTCGAGAATGAATAAGCCTGCTGTATCCCACTGCGGAGGCGACTAATCTCGTTTCTCTCCGTGTCTTTTCTGGAAGAGAATTTTTTTTATCTGCCACGACCATTATAGCACTTTTATCGTTTTTTATCATTTTTTTCTATTTCCAGCAGTGTCTCCCTAGGCACCGGTCCTTATATGAGCATGGCTGTTGCAGGGACGTTAAACCCCATAACAAACAAATATTACTAAAGTAGCTGACAGTTATCATAGAATAACGGCTACAATTTTAAGGACTATGGTTCATCTTCTGAAACGTTCAAAAGTCGAAAAGTGAGGTATTGCCAAAGACTCTTTAATATTGCCTTATAAGAAGAAACAGACGAAACCCGACCGTTCTACTGGGAGCGCCATAAGTCTCCTTTTTGGACATGCAGCGAGATGTTTGTGATTTTTCAGTTGTATTAACAGGTGAGGATTATTTTTTGCTTACCTGAAGTCTCCTTATGCCTTGGTGCATCGTCCGTCAAGTAACATCTTTTTTCTTCAAATCGCCCTGCATCAATCCGTCGTCCCTCCTCAAAACAGTACATGTTATCGCTATTTCTAAAAAAGGACTGGGGGGGGGGGGGGGGCTTTATTAAATCTGATAATTATTAAGTTCTCCTAGGTACCTAGCAGTGCATGTTACCTTTAAAACTTACTGGATAAATTTAAATGGCCGACCGGCAGCCTCCTTGGTTTTGACAGTTAATGTTGGTTATGGCTATCGCTATTTCTCAGAAAATATTGGAGGGATATTTCTCAAATTTAAATTGTATGCTTCCTTTGATCTTCAGTTTTGCTTGTTTACTTTTGAGTCTGATCTGGTGAATAAAATGTCCGACTGACGGCCATCTTGAATTTTAACAGCTAATGATTGTTATTGCTATTTGTCACCAACCATTGTCAATAAAACATTTGCTATTAGATTGCATTCACCACCAGCCAACAAGAGAACAAATACAATAATAAAACAGTTCTTAAATCCCTTTTCGAAAAGGTCAGTATCTCTACAATTCTAACCTACCTAAAAAATGTTGGTCTGTTCAGAATAATATACAGGTAACTAAATCATCGCCACTTTTACAATTTTTTCAAGTTGGCGTTTGTCTTTGACCTCTTTTGTGTTGATGAGCCGTTTAGAATCAAATAATAATAGTAATTGTAAGAAAGTGCATAAAGATCCTCTTTCATATATAATTAGTACATTCCCATTGGTCTCTAATTGTGCAAGTTTATTTTTTAGACCGATTTGTAAAACAATTGCCGACCGACGGCTATCTTTGACTTGACTGTAAAGGTTGGTTACATATGTACCGCCTTTTATCAGAAAATGGTAGAGAGATTTGTTTTCAAAATTTATACGAAGGCTCCCCTTGGTCTTTAAAAATGCATGCTTTCTTTTGAGATTGATCCAATGACAAAATGGCCGAACGGACGGTCGTCTTAAAATTTGACCGCTGAGGATTGTTATCGTTATTTGTAAGAAAGTATAGAAGGGATCTTTCTCAAATTTGATATGAATGTTACGTTCAGCATTTAGGGTAATGGCAATAAACGTTCATCCGTTGTCAGTTTATTGTGACCAGGCGGAATGCTCTGCTAGGTGTTTTCGGCATGGTATTTTATTGATATAGCACTATAATGTCGGCATCATACCTTGTCTTCAGCACACATGCACGCCTACGCAACACACATGGAAGAACATCATTAAATGACCAAAACTGTTAATAGAAATTTAAACAAATAATAACAAATCAAGCCAACTCAATATGAATGTCACCCTTGGTCTCTAGTTATGTATGTTATTTTTTATTTTGACAGTTTGTTTAGCTATGTCTCGAAATGCTGTGTTGTAGTTTTACCATCAGCAGCTGTACATTACACAAACGGATGCAACTCTTAAAATGACCTTAGCTGTTAAAACCATAAAAAAACCAGTTAAAGCTATAGTTGAATCCATATATAATTAAGCAGATATCAGCAAATCCCGATTACTGAATGCGTACAGAAAACAACTTTATCTCTACATGGAAGTTACACAATGTTTAAATTTCTTTATTTGGTGTATTTTTGAACACATCAACTTCCGGTAAATGTTGTTCTTCGTTTTCATTGTTGATTGTTGAATTCACTCGAGTTTTTTTAATTAACTTTTCCATTGTCATAAAATGGGAATTCAATATATATCCTATAAGTACAAAATATGTTGAATAAATTATTCACTGACAAGGAATAACTTAATTTGATTTTATAATTCCGATTATGCAATCCATGAATTAAAACAAGTTTAGTAGTGTAGCAGAACTCGTAAGAATTTAAGTTGAATATGGAAAACGTGATGTGATGCAGTGTAAACCAGCTCGATATCGTTTAGTACGCACTCACGAGGAAATAAGTTATCGATTTAATTTTGACACAGATAACCTTGTTATGCATGTACACCACCGTTGTAACATTATCTTTATTGTACCTGTAGATTACGTTTGTTTGTTTGGGATTTAACGTCCTCGCAACAGCCGGGTCATATGATGACGGGTGCCTAGGGAGAAACCCCCCAAAACAGAAAGCAGATAATATTATGTTGCAATGGGGACAGCAGATCAATGTTGGTCTCTTTCGTGATCTCTTCGTAGAAAAACATCCGATTCTGCAGGGGGCCTTATTAGTCGCCTTTTACGTTAAACATGTAGTTGGAAATACCATGTCTATTCTATGTAGAATTACGATTAGACAACTGTTCACCAAATAGACCCGATATATATATATACAGCAGGACAAAAATGATCACTTATTTACTACTTGGCTCTTTGACTAAAAAGATGACCGGATTTTAACTAAATTTATTTAGGAAAGTGCCTCATGTGTGTAATTAATGCGTGCTTGCTGAAGGCATGACATGTTGATGTGTTTGCCCGCTTGCGATAGCGCAGATCTAATGCCGACTTTAGGGAGCTACTTTACTGAAATGATATGCCGAAGGTACCAAGGACCGTATTCCACCTGGTCATATTATACTGACAACAGGTAAACTAGTTGTTGCGATTACCCTAACAACAGTTTAAGGACTCTGGCATGTCAGAACCAATTGTCTACCCCACTTGGTCGAACCCTTTTCACAAAGACCGAAAGTGAATATTGCCAAGCAAGGCAATAGGAAACAAACGTTTTCAGGGAAAAAGAGAAAATAAAAAAATACCGAATGCTCCAATAGGGGAAGTAGATCAATTGTGGTTTCATTAATGTTCCTTTAGCAGAAGATAGAAGAAAGTCAAGGGACCCACATTAATTATATAATGATAAAGGTACCCAGTACAGTATTCTTACCCGTCATGTAAAGCAGGAAATAACAACTCCCACTCTTAGGGACTTTTAAGATAAGCAAATACACTAACATACTCTGCCTCCAGCACTCGGGCACAATACAAATTGAGACCTTAAATGACCTTAGCTATGGATAGGACGTAAGCACTCGACCATATAGTATAAGCACTGTATAAACAAATCAATGCAAAAATTTAACTAGAAACTATTTATTCTATTTTCGGATCAAAGAACTTAAAAAAGAATGTAAATTCAATTAATGCATTTGTTTTTTCCAATATACTAAGTCGTCATCCATTCTTCGCAATATTACACCAACATTTCCTGTCTCCCAGTGGTGTAGCATACATTTATACCTGTATGCTTAAACAAACACTAACAAATTGAAATAGGATTTTTTTCAATCATATATTTTTATCGTTTTTTTTTATGATTAAAATTGACTGTCCTAAAAAAAGGAAAGAAAAAAAATCTTCTTGAAAATTTTAAGCCGACGGAACATATTATACCGTGTTGTCCTGAGATAAGCGTTTAAGGTTTGAACAAGCCCAATAAAAGATGTAATAGTCACCCTAAATTTCAATCCCTATTAAGTCATATTCAGAGAACCTTATTAAAATTCGGAATATATATAACATGTAGTTTTAGATATATTGGACTTTTACACAAGCTACTTAAAATGTACATAACCAGGTTAACGTAGTCAATAATAAAGCATTAAGACTGATGTCTTCACTTGACTTTTAACCTGTTAATCACTTTAGTAACCTAACTGAATACTACGAAATGACCTATTATTCAAAGTTCATTTATAAACCTAGGTCATGCAGAGCTTAATATCTCTTTAACTATGTGTGGAGAGGCTTT